CAAAGCTACATATGCAATAAAAATTTCACTCACCCCATTTTTTGATGCCATTGCTATGTGCTTTTGTTGAGTGGTATCCTTGGAATGTTTCAAAGCATGCAAAGTGCATAAGAAAGTGTTGGGTTTGCATAAATAAAAAGAGTATATATAGAACAAGAAAAGAAAAGAGAAATTAATGTAACAACAATAGAGAGAGTATTTGGTTTAGTTATTTCCTTAAAAAGACAATGTGACAGACATGAAAATCGGTGGAAACTGTATTTACAATGGTCAATACTCATAGATTTCAGAGAGCAAAAAAACTTTAGCGTAAATTGGATTCGAAGGAGAAAATAAAGGTTTTAGTCAAGTTGTCGATATTTACCGATTTTTAACAATTCTTTACTACATCCATAATCTAGATTAAGGGGTAATTTTGACAAAAATGATATTATAGATTTTATTTCGTATAACACATAAACTTATTTTTTAATTTAATATCACTAGATATCTATGTCCTCTAACTATATTTGAGTAAGAAGTATATAATAAAATTATCATTAAGTTGAAAAGTAGACACGTGTTCTACTTATAACAGATTTTCTATGAATGACGTGTGCATCTCATGTGTACAATGTGCGTGTTTACTTGTTCAATTCATTACAATCTAAATATTTACTTGTGTACACAAAGTCGAATGATGGTTGAGGTGAAGTTAAATAATATGTTTTTGTATTGTATCTTTTAATTTTTTTTTATTTTTCTTTTTGTTGAAATGTAAATGAATAAAAATATTTATATTATTTTATATGTATTAAAATCAGAGTCAATTAGAGGTGTAAATCACCATTAATATTAACGTATTTGGTATCTTCAAACCTTGAGAATTTCTTTATTTAATTTCTTTTTTTCTTCTTGTTGATCAATATTTTACACGTGTTCAAATACTAATATCACAAATCAATAAAACGCTTTTATATGATTGACTTGGGAAAAGAAGAATTTGTTTGTGATGAGGGAATATGGGATGCTAAAATAAGCTTTAGATTGTAAAATGTGAAGATTCACTTAATTTAAATGATTTGTAAGTATTGAAAAAATTGATTTTTAAAGAGTGTTAAGTTAAGAGGCATATTTGAGATTGTATATTAATAGTTGTATATAAAAGTATTTTGTATATAAATTGATCACTCTTTTTTTTAAAATAATAAAAAAGGACAAACACGTGTCATTAAAAGACTTTACTAAAATAAAAAAAAATGCACTATAAAAAACAGAGAAAAATAGAATTGGCAATTGATTCAAATATTAATACAAATCATTAGACAATAATTAAAATCAACGGTTATCCATAATTCCTCATCTGAGATTTGTTGTAAAGAGAATCAAGTTAACTCTAAAATAGGAATATTTTGAGCATCTATTAATTATAAACCACTATTATAATAGAAAGATTTGTATACTTAAAAGAATCTCTCAAACTAAATATATTTTTCTAAAAAAACATTTTTAATGGATTTATGGCTAGAATTAACGGTGAACTAATTTGTTTTGGGTAAAACATATTAGTAATATGACACATATAACCTGCTACTAGACAAAGAATTGTAATATAATTGGCTCGGAGAAAAAAGAACTTAACCAAGATAAAGACACATATTAAATATGAAATAAATAAACGTTTTAACTTAAAATAGTAAAATGAAACACTTCATATTAATCAAACAATTTTAGAGTATTATAATTTTTTTTTGCATTTACAATATATTAGGCCAAGAGGTATATTTGAGATCGTATATTATTTCCACCAAATAATATTCGAAAAAATCCCTTTTAACTGGTGACTCAGCCACTGGCTAATTGGTTGTATATATGTGACTTGCCTTGTTATATTATAAAAAAGAAATTGTGATATTGATCAACCTTAGATTCCCCGCTATCGGATCTATTCATCCACGAAAAGTGATAAAGTTCCATACTAGTCAATTCAACATTGAAAATAGGGTTCAACTTTTTTTTTCGCAAATGTCTAATTCTCAACTAGGAAAATGGACATATATTTTTGAACTATCGTAAATAATATATAAATATTTTCGGTTATACTTTTGAGATATTGGTGCTCCTGTCATTCATAAACTAGAGCATGTATGCCCTTCACTTTAACGGAAGACTAAATAGGAACACGTGGCGCAATTTTATTCGTCGATAAATGTCAAATAAGTGGATAACACGTGTATTTCTGTTACTATAAAGGGTATATACGCTTTAATTTTTGAACGGCAGGGGCACCAATGTTCCAAAAGTATGACAGAGGGTATTTGCATACTATTTACGATAATTCGATGATATATTTGTTTTTTTTTCCTTCTCGATTAAGGCTCGAATAATTTGAACTCATTTAGAATAATATCACTTTAAGGAAATAAAATTTTCTCTATAAAGATAACCTCATTTTCAGGCTCGAATCAGAGATATTTAGAATATATATCATTTCACCAAATATACAAAATTGTGATAAGACATAAAAACACATTTAAATTATAATAAATTGTGATTATATTTAAATTTTACGCTCGCCCCAAACTTTTTTATTAGTATAGTTACCCTCACATGACCTTACTTTTTCATATTAAATATTTTTGGAAAATTTATACCATGTGAATATACGTGGTCTGGTATCTTAATATTTTATTTCATTTTACCTTTCTAGACTCAAATTAACTGGAAATCATCATCTTTCTTGAAGTCTCAACATTTTATGAGCGATTGAATTGGCACGTTATTATTTGTAGTATATACTTTAATATAATCTAGTTTTTTTTAATCCTTTTTTTAGTTGAAATATTATTTGCATCTAACATAAATAAAATAAAACGGACGAACTTATTGTATTTGTTTTAATATTTTCCATACAAAATGTTTAGGCTTAACTTTATTCCTTATGCTAAATCATTGATTAGCTAGTTTAAAGAAATGTTGGAAATGAAAGAAAAAAAAAGGTAAATAATACTAAACAAATAAGTCTGAGGTAAATAATATAGGGAAAAAATATTCGAACACGATAGAACTCTCGTATAATTAATTCTAAATATAAATAATTAATAATTGTACGATAATTCAAATGTGCTTATACGCTTTATCCATATCAACTATAGTGGTTGCACATGTTACTTCGTAAATCCATACTCTAGAATAAAGAAAAAGAATACCGAAACTTTTTATAAATGTTTAAATATTTTTTATTAGATATCAAGAATAAAATGATGTTAAAGGATCATTTCACTTATTTTACCTTTTGACAAGATATATTTTCTTTTATCTCATAATTAATAGTCTAAAAATTTGTTATTTGTCAATTTCATCCTACATACTTTTAGACATTAGGGTAGTAAAATTTCACGGGCCACACCTTATTTGGTTGCCTTATTTAACATGTGTCTATTTTTTTTTTAAAAAAAGTTATTTTTACGGCTATTTGATATCAGATAATTTTAGATGAAATTCTTAATTTTGTATAATAATAACTTTTTAATTTGAAATATGATATTTTGAAGAAGTGGGTTTTAAACTTTAATCAAGAAAATGAATCTTGGAAATAATGACAAATCACAATTATTAAAATTACGTATCTTTTCAACTTTGATCGCGTATATCTAGATCATTCTCCATCGAAATAAACTTAAAGAGAAAAAAAAAGTAGTAAAACGAGCACAAGTTAAAAAGAGGCCTAAAATAAGAGTTCATAGATTTCAGCCCTATCACTAGGCCCAATTCAGATATTGTCTATTCAAAATCCACAATAATAGGGGGTTTATGTATATGGGCTGAAGCTTGTATTGTTGGATTTTTGCAAACTTTTACAACCTCTATATGACTATTAAGTTGAGAAATTTATAAGGCATACTTTTTGTAAATTTTATTAATTTAGGAGCTAATTACATGTTATTTTGTCTATTTTTAAAATTTTCATTCATGTCAGATTTCGGTTCTAGATACATGTATTTAGCATGTTCAGATATACGTTAAATATGTGAGGTTAAAATTAGGTGTAATTTATTCTAAATACATTGTATTCAAGCATATTTGCATGTATTTGAGATATACTAACTCTCTAGCTTGTCTTTCTTCTACCTCGCTCACGACTCACCTTTTTTCTCTCTCCTCTCTCACCCTCTATCTATCTATGTATCAATATTTCAAAATGTATTTGGGATGAATATATGTATCTAGTTCTTTCGTTCGCCTCCCTACTAAATTGCTTGTCTCTCTCTTCTCTCCTTAAATAACTATATTTCATATACGTCCAATAGCAAATATACATGTATTTAGATGGTGATTTGAAATCTAAAATGAAATTATTAATTAGTTAAATAATAATATATATATATATATATATATATATATAATTCAAATTATAAAGAGAATTAAGTAAATATTGTAGGCATATTTATGTAGTTAATTGATTTTTTTCAAATTTGTATTGTATAATTAATATATTTTAAACTTTATTTCTTGTGAAGTCAGAAAATGGGGAGAATCTTGTTGCATAGATATAAGACAATGTTGACAATTATTCAAAGGTCTTAAAGGTTGAGCTGTTAACTTTTTTATACAAGTAATAAAATATTCAATTTCTCTTCTGAATTTCCACTTATTTACGAGTCATATTTGTCACCATTTACGAGATTTATTCTATTTTTTTAAAAAAAAGGAGCTAAAGGTCAACACAACTCTTTTTTTTCCAGATTAAACAACTCATAGGTCTTCTTCTAATCGATGCTGAGGCTATGTAGAAAAGTAGTTTTTTCTTTTATAACTTCTAGATGGTAGAAAAGGTCAACATAATATCAAGAAATTTGACCAAGTCATATATATAATGTTTAAGGCAAAATAAGGTCTCAGCTGCCAAATGTCTTTTCTTTGAGCTCATGTGTGTGTAAAAGAAATTTCCCTTGGCATTACAAAAGAGTTTGTGAAAAGAAAATAATAAGAATAAAGAAGTCGAGACAAATGCAAAATAGTAAAATAGGCAAACTCTCAAATAACACTAGGGTGGAATGATGAACCATATAACTCTCAACTACTTGACAAACGCTTTATTCTAAGATTATGTCGTCCGTAAATTGAAATTGTGTCATGTCCTGACTAATCACTTCACATTTCCAGATCATCTCAGTCTCGCTTTCCATATTTTGACGAATTAGCTAGTCATAATAGATTATCAAAATTATATTAAACTTGAAGTGATTTGGCAGATGAAATTTCTAGGTTAATTCCATTGTATTTACAACATACGATGGAGATTGTTTGGGTGAATAATGGTTCTGATCATCCTTAAACTAGTACTACATCTAGAGTTGGGGTGGAAGCACTAGCCTTTTGCTACCCTGTTGGCTACTGCTACTACTAGACAAGTGAATGCTGCTTCCTAATTCCTTTCTGCTGGATTGATTCTTTGGCCTTGTTGGAATGCATTTTGCTCTCACCCCTTCTATCTCCTTCTCCCTTATTTCCAATTTTGCACTCCTGCAAACCAAAAGCAACCCCAGCATAGTTTAATTTATTTCCAATACAAGTGGAGTCTATATGTGATACGTTCGTAGTGCTTTTGATAAAGATAGCACAGTGGATACAAAACAAAATGCAGCAACGACTAGTAAGAAATGATACCTAGAGAATACGGAGGTTCGTTTGATTTTGTTGATCAATTAATTAGGTAAAGGCAATTTGACTGTGACATTGGCCTATACTAAAGTTACAAGAGGAAATTGTACTTTTCAATCATGAAAACAGGACAAAATATACTGCGACCCATCACTGTTGAATTGCCCTTTATGTAAGCTAGTATATAGACGTGTAGTGCTATATCAACTTGATTTGCAGCTAATTTTTGTTAATAAGTATTAGTCGTGATTGACAGGAAGCAAAGTATGATCATAAAAATAATACTCACCCATCTGCATTCCATGATGAAGATCTTTTCAGAGCTGGATATTCGTCCTTGTTTGTCTCTATTAAGCTTCCGCTCAAGTACTCTTCTAGCTTTGTGATTCCCTGATGCTCCACCCTCCTACTGATCTCTGCCACCGGTCCACGTGGCACCCTCGATTTGTAATGGGAAAGCCCATGATCTTTTCCATAACCGCCGGGCCCACAGTCCTTGAACGACATTGACCCACACCATAATAATTGCATCAACACGGAAGAAGATCCTCTGCTCTTTCCATTCGATTCATCTGTTTCTGGACGTACGATTACCTTACCATCGGCTTTCATCAACGTTTCAAGTGTTTCCGGACTTGAATCAGACGGCGGAGGTGAAATGCTAACTTCTTCTTCTTCCTCTTCACCAATTCCAATTTCTCTTCGCCGGCGACGGCGATCGTCTGTCTGAGTTGACGCATCAGCGCCGGCTTTGCCGGAGTATTCGTTACTGGACGACTCTGCTTTGTAGACTCTGTATTCGTGGAAGTCGGCAGAGCACCAGGACTGGTTGCGCCGCCGTGATACAGCCGGGAGTTTTCTCACTTCCGGCACCTGATTTTTAGATGTCAGCGTTGTTGCACCCTCAACAAGTTGTGATCCTTTGAGAACGTACTCTTGGCCGTGTGCTGGATATATAAAATCATGGTCCGCCAAATCGTGCCACACAAATCCATTTCTGTAGCTTCTGCATTGCAGAGAAAAGCACGACTTCCCATTTATGAATGCTAACTAATATCACATAGTTAACAAAAAGAAGAAGTAATTGACCTTTTGGCAGACCAGGAATAGAGGGAAGCGATGCCTTTTCCCCTGAGAAAATTCAAGCGGTTGATGACATCTGAGAATGACAATGACAAGTCAATGGTGAAAATTCCATCAATTAATTATTCTGGCAAATTAAGTATGTATGTGTACCTCTAAGATAAAGTCCTTCGTCAGGGGAAGAAAGTGTAACTTCCATGAAATGAGGATGTTCAAGTTGTCCATTTCTAGTGAGATAATAAACAACAGGCACTTTGCGTTCCGATTTGAGCTTATGATTTTGATTTTCAATCCAAACTTTGTTACTAGTTTCTCTATCTTTCCATTTTTGGTCCTTTGCTCTAACAAATGTCGCCATAGGTTTTTATATTAACTAGAAGAAGATGAGAGTGTGAGTGTGTGTATAGAGAGAGGGAATGTGCTTGTGAGAATGAATCGTTGATTGGAAAGTGAATGCCGGGGGATTTAATTTAGTGAAACAGAGGGAGGGAGCAGAGATTTCAAAATAGGATGCGGCAGACAACAACTACATGACAAATTTCATTTCACTCGTCTTCTACTATTCATTATTTTCTTGATTTTAATTCATCTCAATTTATTTATTTACAGGGGGTGGGTGATTAAATTTTTTTATATGGGAGTGTTATATATTTCAGAAAATGTATCTAGTAAAAAAATGCATATATATAAGTTAAAATCTAGTATGAAATTGTTCATTATTAAAGAGACAACATATAAAAAAATATATATAGGAGAATTAGTAAATATGATACGAATATTTGTATAATTAAATTAATTATTTTTTCATATCTTATTTCTTTTTCAATCTATTTTTCTTGTCATAATTTGAATATATTATTCTATTTATTATTTCTTTTAATTTAATAATTATGTCAGTTGTATTTTTTTATATTTATAATCTAGGGTAAAAGTGTAATTATACTTATTTTTTAGAATAATAATTATTTTAGAATATTTATTTTTAATAAGGATGGCAAGTATAACAAAAAGAGGGAGGAGAAAGTAGAATTTCTACAATTATTTACATTTTTTTTGGATTTCTGATTATGTTTCTTTCGCCATTTTCTTTAACCTCTCTTTATGATTTTAGTTCGATATTTTTAAAGTTAGAGTTTGATAATTTCATAATGGATAATTAAAAATATATATCAAATATCAAAGTTTAAATTTTGATTTAATTTTATGATTTATATCTACTCTGAATTTCTAGTACACATTTCTAGTTCAATTTAGATACATAAAGTATTTTTGAATTAAGCAGTTTGATTTTTATAACATTTAGTTTGTTTGAATTCTTATTGATTCTTGTCGGAGTAAATTCAAATTAATTCAAAAAGAGTTGACTTAACACTTTTGTAATACTTCACCAAACATTGACTAAATCCTGCCATGATTATTATGTTACTAAAATTTTTCTCTGAAGTAATTAAATAAAGTAACTTACTTGGCCCAAATGTTTGGAAATTTTCGTATTAAAATTAGTAATATACTTTATGTCCATTTGTTTTAATTTACGTGTCATATTATGCTCTTTATTTAATTAGTCTTAAAGAAAAATGATATATTTATATCTAGTAACAATTTAACTTTAAAATGTTTATTTTACTTTTAATGAGTTGATTTATAGATCCACAAATAATTATGACTTACTTTATAGCATAAATTTTAAAAAGACTATTTAGAGGAGATTTTGAGTTGATCAGAGTTGAATAATCAATATATACTTCATGTATAGTTATATTATATTTAGCTTTTTGGGTAAATCATAATGTAATAGTGTATATATAATTACTCATGTATAAGTGAGTTCTATTTAGTTTTTTCATGTATCATAATGTATATTTAGTGTATACTTTGTATGACTTTTGACTTTATTTTTATGTAAATAAAACACAATTAATGTTTATTGTAAATCAATACTTTTTTATTATATATATATATATAGAGAGAGAGAGATTTATTTGTTAAATATAATACACTAATATAATCATAACTTAGAAGTTATAAACTAAAAAATTTGGTTCCACCTTTGTTAATAGCAGGATCGTATTCATTTGGTTGTGGTATGTGTATTATATGTTCATCTGGTCTATCGATGTATTTGTAAGGACCAATTGTTTGTTCTAAAATTCTTATTGCTAATTCAATCTAAACATAAAAATATGTTTGCAAAATTGGAACTATTTGTCAATTAGTTAAACATTTAATAAATCTTGAGTAGCGACCTTTCATCCCTAGGGTAAAAGGAACATATCTCTCTGTATTGGAAAGTACACCATCTTGTTATCAACAAAATTCCAAATATTTTAGGTATGGGTCTTACGAAGTATCATTTTCATTATAAATCTTTTTTTTAAAAAAAACTTTATATTAAATACATGTGTGAATCATCATCATTGTAATTCATAACGAGGAAGTGCATGTGTTTGATAAGCAAAAAGGTCCAAATTAGGGAGTAATTCAAGGACCAATATTCACCTGGGATATATCTATCTTCCAGATGTTCTATATTTCCCATTCCCAAAGTATGCAGCAACGTGCCCTATATATTGTTTCTTCCATTTTTGTGTTTCTCAACTCAAATATCAACACATTCATGCATCGATCTGACATGTTATAATTGAATATTTAAATATATTATAAAATATTTTACATTAAAATTTTTAAAAAAGTTATTCGATGTATTTTTAAGCGCTCATTATATAACTTAAAAATATGTAAATTTGTTTGATTGTATAAATTATCGTTCATAAACTATAAAACTTTGTATCTATTTCGATTGATGAGATGTATATTATTAAAGAAGGTGATATATTTTGTGTTATGTAGTTGCTGTTTGAGAACACAAGCATGAAAGTGTCCAAAATTTGAGATACAAGTATCTAATAGCTAGCAAAACTTTGACTTTCGTGATATCAAATCATAAAAATATATTTAAATAAAATTTATTGAAAAAAATATAATATTTATTTGAATAACGAAATTTAAATGTGTAATGCAAATTGAGACGGTTGAAAATGATAAGCATACACGATATGTGATGGATGACACCAAAGAATGGCAACTTCGATAAGACGATTATCCTAATTCATAAGCCTAATCCATTACAAAAAGGAACAATTAATTGTTATCATATTCAAACAAAGATAAAAGGAAGAATTAATTGTTTTTATCTTTATCTTCTTATATTGATGATGCTGTGTATGGAAATTCTGTCCCAAAAAGACAATTTAAAAAAAAAATTGATAAAATATTTGTATCTTTTGTGTGCTTTAAATTGCAGCTAAAAAGGATAAATTTTTCTATATGATTAATTGTTAAGGTATCGGTGGAAAAAGGCTTTTTTATTAAATCCTTTTAGATTTGGATATGGATCTGCTGTTTTTTTTTAACTCAGACACATTATTATTGGGGCTAACTATAGGTTGAAATAATTGCTAGGTAACAACGTATAAGGATAATTATGTGTAATTTATCCAAGATAATTATATTTAAGTGTGTCTAGGATACTTTCTATTATTCATGTCTTTTATATTGTTATTTCACAAATTCATATATATATATATATATATATATATATAAATTACAATTAACAAATATATGTATCTGATATCAAAATATGTATTTATACATTCATCAATGTAAACGTATATAAGTATATGTATACTCGTCGATTGCTTCTAAGTACCATCCACATCAATCAGAAAGAGTGGAGAAAAAAGGAGAAGTGGGAGGAGAGAACATTATTTTAAAAAAATATATATATAATAAATTTAATAGATATGATAGAAATATATTGTTTTTCCTACAATAAAGCTTATTCAAATGTTTACCAAATTGAGGAGTCATTTTAGATAGATATTGAGCCTTAATTTTTAGCTCAAATTATTTGTCTAATTCCTTCAAAAAGAGTTTTTTTCTTTAATCCACTCTCGAATTCCTTTTGGAAGAACATAAACAAACACATTCGAATAGTTTGATAAAGTTATTAGACTTTAGGACGGAGATAGTAGATCGCATGCTGATTTCATCGAATCTAGTAAAATTTATTTCAATAGTATATTTGTAATATTATAGCGATGTTCACTAAATATGTATATATTAAATTTAAAACATAATTGTTATTTTTTAAATTAATTATTAAAGTTTAGAATTCATAAAATTCAAATCAATCTGATTTATTGTTTGCTTTTTTTAATTATTAATTTTTTACTATTTTTTAAATCTGAGCTCCTGATCAACATATCCATAGATAACATGTTGATTATATACATGTATATATTGGCTACTTAAAATTGAGCAATTGGATATATAGTTATTTAGGTTTATATATTGTTATTTTCCTATTCGATTTAACTTCCATTGCTTTACTAAAAAATGCATATTAAATTATGAGCCAACCCTTAGAAATCCCCAATGGTGATATAAAAAGTTGATACACTATATATAAATTTATAATTATGATACTAATCAAGCTATAGTAGTCATATATAATGATTCCAATGTGAAAGGGAAAAGAAATATTGATAAAACATTCATATAATCAGAAAACCAAATCACTTAGCAACAATCTTAATCAATCATTAAAAACTTCTAGTAATATGTATACCCTACCAACCAAGGAAATGGGATCTTTATCAAACATGAGTTTGTGGACAGTTATGAGATCGTTTCATATTAAATTAAAAAGGGTTTTGAATTTCAACTTTAGATATAAACAAAATTTTATTAATAGCGCTACTTTCAAATAAATTTTATAATATTATGTATTTAAATTTAATCGAAATTTAAAAATAAATTGGGAACACTAAATTAAATAGAAGAAAGAATTGGGATCTTTCAGTTTACTACTTAGATAAAAACAACTCTTACCCACTGGACCACTTACACTATACTATATGTTAGTGCATAGACGTGACATCAACACTAAATATGTAACATCAACATTCAACAATAAAATAAGTCACTTAAATTACTATAAATATTCCTGGCCACTTAATTCTTTAGAGAAGGTTAAATGACAATATTTTATCATGTTATTTTAAGAATTTAATATCTTATCATCTTTTATCCCATCCATTAAAATTATACCTCCCCTCTTTCAATTTTAGTGTCCATTTGACTCTATATACCCCAGTTTTGTTGTGCCATGTGGAACTAACCATATATAAATTCTTGACTATTGTTGCCTAACAATTCCTTATACATGCTCTGAATTACGAAAACAGCAATATAATATGTAACTCTCATAAATTAAATTTATGGAAGATGTATAATATATATAGTTTTTTTTTATATTTGTAAGATAGACAAATTATTTTTGATAGACTTTCTATATAAAAAAGAGTAATCAAAACAACACGAATACTACTAACAAAGGAGAAGATGAGAAGAGAAGAGAAGATTGACCCCATGTCTCCCCCACATAAAGACTATACAAATATTTGATTACCTACTACTTTTCTACCTTAACCTCAATTTCTAAATCTTTCTATATAGAGTTATGTCCTTAATAAATTAAAGATATGTCATATCATAATTAATTACCTCCCTCAGTTTTTATTTGACTCATCTCTACCTTTCTTATAACTTACTATAGTC